TTATTCATTTTGGTTTTTATTACATAAAATTAGTCTCAAATGTGTTTTATTAAAACTCCATAAAAGTATACATCGAATTCGAAGATGATAAAACATTTCAAACCCAACATGCAATGTGCCCAAGTTAGAATCGCTTTCTGTATTTCTATCTCAACTTTATGCCCAACATGTGATGTGCCCAAGGCTTACGGGTATCTATAATTATTTTTCTTTTCTTTCTTTTAATTTAACCAAAGTATGGAAAATGAAATTACTATTATTATATTTCGTTTATCATGCAAGATTTGATTATAATATTTGTGGGTGAGGGTGAGATATTTAACGAGAAAAACGAATAAGCATACCACACTCAATATTAAATAATAATGAATGATCACAATAACTACATGTATATTAATTATTAAACGAGGAAAACGAATATTATGATTGTCTAATTCAAGTTGTCACATTCGCACATAACCTTTACACTGTGGCTGGCTCTGATATATGCATACTTTAATTTTATTATTAACAACACAATTACCATCATACCACACTCAATGGTTATATATACTTGCTTTAAAAATTTATAATTAAAAAAAAAGAAAAAAAAAAGATGCTGGCTAGTAAGACCATGCAATATGAACATAGATGATAAAATAGATTTAGTTAGAAAAAAAAATGTCCTTGTGCCAGTAGGCACTCTCAATCATTAATGTTAGTTATTAATGCGTGGGAGATCAACATTTTATCAACATATGAGAAATAGCAATCGTATACGGATGACTGACTAAATATCTAATAAAATTAGATTTATAGTTTTTTATTTTTTAAGACCTTTCTGATTGAGGAGGGTAATAATATATAAAATTCACACACACAATATAAATTTTAGAATTTAAACTTAAAATTTTATCCGAAAAATCAATTATTCTAAACCAGGGTGTTGGCTCGAGTGAAGTCTTAGAGACATTGAACCAGTTGGAGAATTGATTTTCAAGTAAAAAATCACCGCATCGAATGGTCGACAGGTGGCTGCTTCTTCCTGTATGAGCCACCTCTTGGACCAATGAAAAGCCACACATATTATTATTTTATAATTTTATAAATTTATAAATTTTTTAGAGTGTGGCTTTCGTGTGGCATGAATAGCGTGTGCGTGTTACTCTCCTCAAATAGCGCGTAGAGCTCATGCAGTCGGCGCTAATTGGATTCCAACTAGGAACCGTTTAGTCCCGGTTAAATCTAACTCCCTAAACGAAACAGGGGCCCACATCCTCAAATGACAAAAATATCCTCCTCCAATGCCACGAGTTAAAGAGTGATTCCCCCTCCTCCTTCTGTTAGCTCTACCAACTCCTAAACAGACGGCTTTTCCAATTAAAGTAGCCGAGTGCGTGATTACCATTTTTGCCCTCAGGAAAAATATAAATAGTTATTGTTTAGGTGGCGGTGATGGTGGGTGCACCGTGCGGAGGACAGGATGAGGAAGAAAAGCTGTGATATTTTATATAGAAAGCAACGGGGAAAGGAATTTGGTAATTTTGGATATTTAGAATGTGCTTTTCGGGGTCACAGAATTTTATTCGATAAATACATGGTACATGGACGTCGAGTTAGGCAGGGGACAAGTGGCACATATGTTATGTGCTCGACACGTGTCGAGTTATGGATGCCTGGGGTTTTCTGTAGCTTGGATGGTTTAGTTGCTAACCAAACCAAATAGTCATGCATTTTGTCTCACACGCAACCTTTCTATGAAACATCAAGTAGTTGGTAACTTGGTATTAGGGGGAGCGAAATTTCACGCAAAATAAATATACAAAAAAGTTAAGTTTCAATTCAAAGCATTTCTTCTTCCTTTTTTTTTTTCCCGGGATGGGAAATTCGAACACAAGTTCTTATATACGGTCAATTGCTCTTGTTACGTGCTTGAGCAACAAGTTATTTACATATATAATTATACTTACAAGACTTATTATTATATGATATGTGGCAGCGCTAATTGTTAAAAGCATATATAGTTGACCCGCATCTCACCTCTTCCAAGCATGAGGGGATCATTTTCGTAATTTTGGCTGTGTTAGAATAATTGGTGATTGGACAAACGTTTTAGGGGTTGAAAAGGTAGTATAGCGACTGGCGTTTGTGGTCAAATGCTTTGGTTCTAAGACTTTATCCCACGGGTTGTGTGGCTAAGAAATTCAAATAAAAATCACCACCACCAGCCAAACACAAGCATCAAAACAAAATTCAATTCAATTGGGATCAAAGTGTGTGATTATTTCTTTAATGGAAAGATGCTCCAAATATATATTGTAATAGCTTGGCATTTAAGCCAAATGAACAAGTTGTGGACAATAGCTATGGATTCTTTCATGACAAGCATGTTGTTGTGGTTTGTTTTTTTTTTTTGGGTGGGGGATAATTGAAGGATTTTAGCATTTAGTAAACAAATTTAAGAAATTAATGTCTGCGGAGCTTCATGATTTCGCCCAAATGGGCAGGAGATTCCACCAACTAAAATTAAGATGTGGACCTTTAAGTGTAAGGCCTAAGGCCCTCACATGTTATATCATTTTTCAGCATCCTATGTGACGACGTTTAACAACTATTTTTAACCATATGGGTACGAAATTGGGTGAGAAAAAAAAAGTTGTATTGTATGTGCCACTTTATTTTATGCGTTTTATTGTATTGTAGCAATTATTATTGCACCTGAGATTTGTGTTTAAATATTATACCTGTAATATATCTTATATCAAAACAAAACAAAATATTTAAAATAAAAAAGAAGAAGATATTTAGTCATATATCCATTCTTAGCACTAATACTATAGATAAACTCTACACCATTTAATTTATGTAAAAAAACATAAAAAATTACAACTTGCTCCATTGAATTTAATTTTAATTATTAAATTACTTTCATGCACTATTGAGTGTTTTGAGATTTTCTTATGAGGTTTTGGGGTTGGGTTTGTTTTAATGAATCAATGACAATTTTGTAATTTAAAATAAATTAAAAGCCTTTTTGTTATGTTGTAAATGGACTTTGAGTGTATTTATAAAGTCCATTTCATGTACGATTTTTATAATTTGGGTTTATGTATTGGGTATAATAGTGAATCTCCTGTTTATTATTAATATAAAATAATTATGGTGGTATGTCACAAATAAATAAATAGTAGTAATGGTGGTGGGATTTTACTATATGTAGTGAAACCATGACTCCATTGCAACAAGTGATGCTTTGACGGATGTATGTTAAGATTGGGTGCCCAACAATTTCTGGTGAACGTCTCCCCCTTTCCCCTTACTTTATCCACTTTTGTCAGTTACACAATGAATACATGTGCACAATAGGATGAAATCAATTACTTCATCTTCTAAGCTAAAAAAAAATATTTCGTAACTTCATCTTTTATGAACATTGTATGATATCCGTGTTCATTCGTCATATATAAACGACAGAATACTTTTTTTTTCTTCTTATTTTCTTTGGGGCAAGATAAGTGGGTGGGTAGAGAGAAGCATGAAATGAAGGTAGCAGCAATCTTCATGTTAAAGAAATTAGATTTGCAGTTGGGTGGCATATATATGCCCCCTTAAAGAAGGTAGATTTATAATTTAAAGCTCTGGAGTATAGTCAACTTGCAAGCAACTAGTTCTCAATTTTCTTGTTGATGTTTTACTTGAGTATTGTAACAAGTAGTTTTAGGTAGATTGGGGGGGGGAGAGGGGGGGGGAAAAGAAGAAGGGGGGGGGGGGGGGGGGGGGGGGAATACTCTACCAAAGGCAATATTTCTTTTCTCGCTTGAGGTTTAGAGAATAAGGCTACCTAGTTAGACCGATAACTAAGCCCGTATGTATAGAGAAACTCGCCTAATTCCACACGACATGGTCCAATTTTTGTACTAGTTACTTACCCTCCTATCAATAAGCTTTATTCTTGTAAGCTGTAAAATGAAAAGATACATAATTTGAACATTATCATTTCACATGGCCATACACATACAACTTCTGTGGGGTCCGGAAACCCATCTTTCTGAAGAACTAACATATATTTGACCAAATTAGATAAATATAAACCATGATTTCACGAGGTAAACAAACTAATCGACAAATTGTACATTCATTTGCAACATGAAATATTTGAGTTTACGACTCATCTTTTACAAGCTTCACAAGTAAAAGTATACTCTTAGCAACATCAACCCAGTTGATCATTTTGTAATTTTAAAAACAAAAAAGTTAAAATTAAATAAAATTTATTTATGTCGGGCTAAAATATTATAATGGTTGTGGGGGAGAGGTTGGCGACGTAGACGAAGTTTTTTTTTGGGTCAAAAAGACAAAGTTGAGGTTTAATATCCCTTCATACGTAAAGCCCTGCAACCGACTCGTGTCAGTTAACGCACCAAGAGTCAACCGGGAATCGTCCGTTAGGACAAACCAGCTACTGGAATTTCGAATCCGCGAACTAGCAAACAGAGAGGAACCATTTTACAGTGACGGGGCCGTCATTTACCCTTGCCTGAAAGCACAACCCCATTAGCTACACGTGGTTGGGGCGTCGCTTTCTCGGTGCTCTGGATTGCATTTTCGGGGCTCTTGTCGAAGGCCTTTTGGAATAGTTTGTAACTGTCCTGTCAGATGATCATAGCCGAATAAAGATCATCTCATTCACTCAAGCGAAAAAACACACACCCCACCACCTCCCCACAAAGCCTTTGTCCCCACGCGCCCCGAACTCCTCGTCTCATTCTATTGGTCCGTGCTTTCACGCTCACTGAAATCTCGTGCGGATCCTTGATTGTAAATTTAAAACGGAAGGTCTAAGCTGTAAGCGAAGAGTATATCTACACGGAGCATCCACCGTTCACCGTCATAAATCTAGATCAAAAGTTAATCCAACGGTGGAAACATGATGGCGTACGTTTTCGCGTGGATTCATTTAGGAATTGTAGGATTTAATAATTAAAAAAAGACACCCAAAAAACGAAAAACCAGAAAGCAAAGCTACGAGCGCTCTCTCTCTCTCTCCTCTCTCTCTCTCTCTCTCTCTCTCTCTAGTTGGAATCTGCCTTGGTTATATTCATTTCATTACAATTACAAATAAATTCAAGGCGATAATAAGAGAGAACGAAACTGTCTCTTCCTCTTGTTTCCCAAAATCCCATGCGTTTCTTCCTCTTTTAGCCTTTTTTACCCTTCTTCTCCCTCGCTCTGAAAACCCCGAGAAAAACAGCAGGAAGAGCGAAAGCCTCCAGAAATGCAATCAGGCTTCACAGGTGGAGCCGGAGCTGGCGGTGTACCTGATTTCTACGCCGGCGGGCGATCCATCTCCATCGCCACAGCCATGAACAACCACCACCAGCACCCTTCTCAGCCTCCCTACCACCGATCTTCACTCTCGGGCCTCTTCCTTGACAACCCCTCCTCCCAGATCGCCCGCCAAACACAATCCCAATCCCAATTCCAAACCCAAAACCCATCAACTCTCATCGGCAAGCGCACGCTCGCCGAGTTTCAAGCCCATCAGCAGCAGCACCACTACCACAACCCTAACCAGAACCTCTATTTACGCTCACTGAAACCCAGAACATTCCAACACTCCTCTCCCATATCCCCTCTCTCTCCCATAGACTTCTCCTCTTCATCGACAATTACTGGCTCTGACTCTTCGTCTTCGGCATCGTCGCTATTGTCTCACCAACGCTTCGGGTTGCCCCTTCTTCAGCAGCTCCGCCCTCAGCCCGTTCACCAGACGCTACCACCTGCCGGGTCCTTCGTCAACAACAACCCGGTTCAGAATCAGACCCGGGTTGTCTCCGGTGTGGACTCCGAGAAGAAAATGATTAGCAACAGGCTGCAAGAGTTGGAAAAACAGCTCCTCGACGATAACGACGAGGAGGACGAAGGCGACGCCGTTTCGGTCATTACTAAAACCAGCAGCGAGTGGTCTGAGACGATACAGAACCTGATCGGTCCGGGTCCGGGTCAGAGCCAGAAGCCCGTTTCGCCCTCCCCCACTTCGTCATCGTCTTCTTCGTCCTCCGTGGCTTCCCCTGCTTCCTCCACGTGTTCCAAGCAGTCGCTTATGGAGGCCGCTACGGCCATTTCCGAAGGGAAATCTGAGGCCGCGGCTGAGATCCTCACGCGCCTGACGACGTCGCAGGTTCCGAATCCTAGACCCAATTCCGAGCAGAGGCTTCTCGAGGTCATGACTTTAGCTTTGAAGTCCCGGGTCAACCCGGTCGATAACCCGCCTCCGGTGACCGAGCTCTTTAGCCAGGAACACACCGGGTCGACTCAGTTGCTCTACGAGCTGTCCCCCTGTTTCAGGTTCGGGTTTATGGCCGCTAACCTCGCAATCCTGGAAGCGACGTTGACGGACAAATCAGCGACCAATAAGGTTCATGTGATTGACTTCGATATCGGGCAGGGCGGTCAGTACGTGCTCCTTCTCCAAGCGCTAGACGCGCGTCTGAATGGGTTGCCCGCCACGGTGAAGATCACCACCGTCGCAGATAATGGCGGGGAGGACAGGTTGACGATGGTAAGACAGAATCTGAGTAAAGTCGCTAAGCAACACGGTGTGGTCCTGGAATTTAACATAGTGAGCCAGAAACTCGCCGAGCTGAACCGTGAGTCACTAGGTTGCGAACCGGACGAGCCGATCGCTGTGAATTTCGCTTTCAAATTGTACAGTATGCCCGACGAGAGCGTGTCCACGGACAACCCCCGCGACGAGCTTCTGCGGCGCGTGAAGGGTCTGTCGCCGCGTGTGGTGACGCTGGTTGAGCAGGAGCTCAACACAAACACCGCCCCGTTCATGGCGCGCGTTAAGGAGACGTGCGGGTATTACGGGGCGCTGTTGGAATCAATCAAGTCGACGGAGGCGGGGGATAACTCGGAGCGAGTGAAGGCGGAGGAGGCGCTGAGTCGGAAGCTGATAAACTCGGTTGCTTGTGAAGGGAGGGATCGGGTGGAAAGATGTGAAGTGTTTGGGAAGTGGCGGGCCCGCATGGGGATGGCGGGGTTCGAGTTGAGGCCCATGAGCCAAAACATGACCGAGGTTTTGAAGCAGCGACTCAGTTCGGGTAATAACCGAGTCAACTCGGGGTTCACGGTTAAAGAAGAGAATGGAGGGGTTGGCTTTGGTTGGATAAGCCGCACGCTCACCGTCGCATCCGCCTGGCGTTAACTCATTTTCTCTCCGTCTTTTTTGTTTTTTGTTTTTTGTTTTTATAATAATTTTAATTTTTCATTTTCTGGCTAATATTATTAATTGTTATGAAAATACTCTTATGATTATTATAATGTAGTAGGCAGTAGGCTGTAGGCTGTAAGCTGTAAGCTTTCCTGATAAAATGGAAAAGGCGGAGGAAGAATGCCCCCACCAAACGAAAAGACAATAAAAATGAGAGAGGTGTTTGGATTTCCCTGAAAATTTCTTCTCTCGCTGCATTCATGATCATGATTTTGGGTTTAGGGTTAAATGTGAATTGCGGATTGTGGCGTTAGGTATAATTTTGCTGACCTTGCGTTGTAATGTAATGTGGTTTCCGCTTGTTTGTATTCCCAAGTACCAACTATCAGGGCTCCACTCATACATATAAACATTTCTTTTTGGTTTTTCTTGTATTTATGTTATTTTTAGGGGAATTTGTTTTCCGACGTGTCGGGTTTTGATTGCACCTTTAGGAGGGCCAAATGTGGTATGGGGATTTTCACTGCAATTTCTTCCATTGTAAAACAATATTAATGCTATAGAAATATTACCAAACATTTTCGAGTATAAATCCACTGACATGAGGACAATGCAGGACAAAAGATGTGGCTGGTGAGTTTGTTGGTTGGGAAGATTTGAGGATCTTGGGTATTAAATTAGACGATGGCATGGCAAGTTGGCAACGGAAATCATTCGTCATTTACCACTATTATACTCCAATCCAATATCAATGGTTTATTATTCTTTAATTAATTTTAACATTCTATTCCCACTTTCATTTCGGTTGTTATTCAAGTAGCTTTTTAAGAATAATTAATAAATACCACTTTCATGATGTAATATAGATTTGTTTCCAACCGTTACATCGAATTAACAACAGTTTAAGATTAATAATGTTTCAGCCATTTTGCTCGACATTTGCGATGGATTGAGGAGCAATTGAAATGGAATTTGTGAGAGCTAATATGCATTTATAGAAAGGAAGAAGATATACGGATAAATGACAGTATTTTATTGACATAAGATGAGCAACTACCTAGTACAAAAACCGAGCTGTATTGTTGGAAATTAAGCGAGTATCTCTACACCAATAAGAGACGAATAAATAAATTGCGGTATATGAATATTTAGTAAACAATCATAAATAAATATGCATTGAACTAAAATGATATGATAATATTTGCATCATGAATGACTGTACAGTACTGTCGACCCAGCGAAATTCTCATAAATACATTAACCCACAAGGTTAGTGTTGATGAAAGAGGGGGGGGGGGGGGGGGGTGTGCCTAGCCTATGCTTTGGTAGCAAAATGTGGTGTGGGAGAGAAACATTAAATTACCATATTAAATGTGACAATCAAAATTTGATAAAAAAAGAAGAAGGGAGAATTTATGATGCGTGCCCAATAGAAATGAATAATAATGATAGGAGTGTTGGATTTGATGGGCTGAATTATCAGACTTGTGTCACCCAAAAAGTGAAGTTGAGTACCCATCTCACTGCACAAAGGAACCATCCTCGCCTTAAAAGTCAAAATCCTTTTCTTTTTGCAGAACAATATATATATTTTTTATTATTAATTTTTTTTTTGTCTTTAAATAAATTTTACTTTTCACCCATTGTCGGAGGAAATTGCCGTAGAGCCCTTCGATTTATTTAAAGAATAAATAGTATAGCCGCGCGGCTATACGTTGGCGTATTTTTAATTTGTTTTTATAAAATTAATAGTATAGCCGAGCGGCTATAAATTTGAAACGTAGCCACCAGGACTTGTAATGGGCTTCAGATGCAAAAGGTAAAAATAAACTTTTTCATGGGCCATTCTTGCACGAATAAGAAAAAATAGACCCGTTAGCTCAAAATGAAATGGGCCGAAGAGCAACTCTCTTGGACTTGGGCCACAAAATCAATACTGTCCCCTCGCTCTCAATGAACGCTGAGCGTTGACTGACAAATCAACGGGAAAGAAAACTGAACAACCATGACAGATAAATTTACCGTCAACATACCCGAGTCATAAACCTCATCTCAGTCATCTCCCCCGACGCTCAAGTGTCAAGTCACTGAGCCGCCAAAATGCTCGTGTCACTGAGACTACCTTCTCTGAGCTCGCTCTTCTCCCCCTCCATCTCCTTCCGTCATCCGGCGGTGCTCCTGCGACGCTACCACCGCTGGTTCTCGGTATTCGCAGCCGGTTTCTCGGCTCAGAGCACGGTGTCGGTGTCCAACGAGGACGCAGTCCATAGTCAAAAGAGTAACCGAGTCCAGGACCGAGGTGTAACACCTCGGTCACAGGACTTCAATGCTTGGTACCTTGATGTCATTGAACAAGCTGAGCTCGCCGATTATGGTCCGGTTCGCGGAACCATGGTCATTCGTCCCTACGGTTACGCCATTTGGGAAGCCATTCAGGTACTCCAAGCTGGACCTCCTCTGTTCTATTGGATTGGTTGCATTAGTTTTCAGTTCACAGTTTTTAAAGTAATTTTCATTTTTGTAGGATTATCTGAATATGAAATTCAAGGAGACTGGTCACAGTAACATGTATTTCCCTCATGTATTGAATTGCATTCTTTTGTTTTGCTTTTGTTTTTTAGATGCTAAGTTATAGATTTATTGCTATTTTATGGTCATGGTCAAATCAATTAGGCGCATGAATGAGTTCTAATTTCAAGTGTTGCATGTGTAATGTATGCTTTATAACTGTGAGTTGTTTGATGTGTGGAATGTTGCAGTTTATACCATACTCGTTTATAGAGAAAGAAGCTAGCCATGTTGAAGGTTTTAGTCCTGAGTTAGCACTTGTGACGATAGGAGCAGTGAAGGACCTTGAAGAGAAACTTGTGGTGCGTGTTCTCTTCGACTAGCTTTTGTTGTATTTCTTCTTTATGTGTATGTGATTGTAAAAGCTGAATCATATTGTGCTCAACTGTTGAAGTTACTGAGTAACTATGACCTAAGGTGTGGCTTTGATTGTTGCACTTCCTGAGGCTCCGGCAGGTTCGACCCACGAGTGAAACCATAGTCAATCACATGTTCACCCAGTGGATTCATAGTTACCGTGATCTTCCACTTATGATTAACCAGGTATGATGCTTTGTCTCATTATTTGCAGTGCTTCAATTTTCATTAGAAGAATTTCCCACTAAGCTTTGGTCTTTCTCATGAGGAATTTAATTCAGTGGGCAAATGTCACGAGATGGAAGATGCGGACAAAACCTTTTGTGAGGACTCTTGAATTTCTCTGGCAGGAGGGACACACAGCTCATGCCACTCTAGAGGAGGCAGAAAAAGAGGTTTGCGTCTGACATAATGACTGCCCTTAAACAGTTGCAAAATAAGTATCATTTTTCTTTAATACATTAGTTCCGCTCAACTGCAGGCTATACAGATGATTGATGTGTATACAAAATTTTCTTATGAGCAAGCTGCAATACCTGTTATTGCAGGTCGAAAGTCAAAAGTGGAAACATTTGCTGGTGCTATTAGGACCTACACAATAGAGGCTATGCTGGGTGATTGAAAGGCATTACAGGCTGGAACCAGCCACAATATTGGGCAGAATTTTTCTCGTGCATTTGAAACACAGGTATTTTGATATGCTAGTGTGGTTCTTGGTCAGTTTTATTCCAGATGATTCAGAAAATCAAAGCCTCATTTATACCATTCTATCCAAGTCCATATGATGTCTAATGGCCTTTCTAAAGTATTCAACTTGTGTAAGTTGTTGCTGTGATTGGATAATCATGAGCTTGTATCCTCTAATCGTTTGTACAATCCATCAAATATAGAGGAGTTTGACCAAAAGTTGTGCATGCAGTTTACTGATGAAAGTGGACAGAGGCAACATGTGTGGCAGACTTCATGGGCTGTCAGTACCCGTTTTGTTGGCGGTATTTATGACCCGTGGAGATGATACAGGGTTAATGCTTCCCCCAAAGATTGTACCAATACAGGTAAAGTGCTAAGTTGGAGACCTTTATGCATTTTATGATGCTGATGCAGATTCTTAGAGTTGTGGTCATTTGCTTGTATGGATGTAAACCAAAAGCTTCAGTAAGACTATCTTCTGTAATAGACTATTTTAGAAGTATAATCTATGATATGCCAATGTCAGTGTCTTAGCATACGCTGTGTTTAGTATAAGGGAAACTGGAAACTTGTATGTTAGTTTGGTTTAAGTCGCAAGTCATTGGGTTGATTCCTTGCTAGTTTGGGTACTGAAAATCTAATAGTTGTGAATGGCTTCATGAGAGGAGTAGCTAAAGGCTGCTGTAGTAATCTAACTTTCAAATATGTATCCGTGTTTGTGGCTTGTTATTATATAGCAAAGTTGTACAATGCATCTCATAGACACTGAAAATTGTGATGCATGGAACGACAAAGTTCATGCCAGTTATGAAAGGAGAAAGTTTTCTATTGATCTTCTGGCTTGTTGTAGTTGGATTAATATATTCTCCCACAGCACATGATTATTTGTTTTAACATTCTCTGTTCTCATAACTAAGAATTCATGCCTTGTTATGCTTAGAGTTCAATTTGGCTGTGCTTGTTTGGTATGTTGCATCTGCCCAGGTGTGTGTGCATACATGGCTTCTTCTTCTTCTTCTTTTTTATTTATTTAATAAATTCCTTGTTTGCTTCTAGGTGGTAATCATACCAATTTGGAAGAAGGATGAGGATAGAGCAGGAGTTCTCAATGCTGCATCATCTGTGAAAGAAGCACTGCAGGCTGCAGGGATTAAAGTTAAACTTGATGAATCTGATCAGAGAAGCCCAGGATGGAAATTCAATTTCTGGGAGATGAAGGTTTGTCCTGATTCTTAAAGATAAATCATAAACGATACTCTTCTGGTTTCTCACTAAAAAAGATAAATAAAAAGAAAAGAAAAATGTAATTGTTACCCTTTGGCATGTTGCTTTTAGCACATTAATCTTATGACTTGAAAGAAGCTTATTTATATAAAAGCTCTCAGAATGAAAAGAACTGAAAAGCCATCACATATTAGCCATTCCATTATCTCATTCTTTGACTTGCATGAAAATTGACTGGGATGTTCTCCTAATACTTGTTATGAATTCAAAGATTGCGGAAAAATTAGACCTGAAATTGACCTTTTCCTCATGCTCCGACTGGCGTTGGTTTTAGTGTGTGCGCTACTTACTGTGAGCATATTGTTTCTTTTGTGTGTTGGTACCATTGCATGCACAAATCATATATTGATTCTTTCTCTTGCACGAAGCTACTTATATCATCTATCACCTCAATATCAGGCCTTGGTTTTGTAGGGAGTTCCTTTGAGGATTGAAATTGGTCCTCGTGATGTTTCAAGTGGGAGTGTGGTTGTATCTAGAAGAGATGTTCCTGGAAAGCAAGGGAAAGTTTTTTGGAATATCTATGGAGCCTTCAAATTTGGAGGCTTATGTGAAGGACAAGTTGGATGAGATCCAGTCATCTCTTTTGAGACAAGCAGAATCATTTCGAGATAGGTGCATTTTCTTGCTCTTAACATTTAATAGTTTTTATAAGCTGAAGATGAGATTTCGTCCATTGAGTTTTATAAAGCATCATTGGAAAAAATAACTGATAGTGCCCAATGAACTCTTTGAAGTTAACCTCAGTATAAGAACTAAAAGCTTTTTGCTAATTTTTGTCAAGCCAGGTAGTGGTTATAGTTACACCGTGTCTGCAATTAAGTTGTCACCACTGTCATTCTAGAAAGCCGGAGGAGGGGTTTTGAACGCTGTGGCTATGCAATTGATTAGATATCTATTATTTGGAAGCGTTTTTCACTTGGTTGGAATACTTGTGGAGGCATTGACAATAAGAATGTCTTTTTGCAGCAATATTGTGGATGTAAGCTCATATGATGAACTCAAAGTTGCAATCTCCCAGGGCAAATGGGCAAGAGGTCCTTGGTCCGCCAGGTATGTTCTATTAAATGATGTCTTTGTTAATTGCATGATAAATATGCATTGCATAATGTATACTATTGAGGTAAATTGCATTTATGATTCTAATGTGATGAAACTGCAATGATTGGTACAGTAATGAAGATGAGTTAAAAGTAAAAGAGGAAACCGGGGCAACGATCAGATGTTTTCCCTTTGAACAGCCGTTAGGGATTAAAAGATGCTTGATGACTGGTAATCATGCAGAGGAAGTTGCCATTTTTGCAAAGTCATACTAAGTTTCCAGGTTTCCCTCGGATCACAACACCCAACCGGTATCGTTACTACTCAGTCTGTGTTTTATCAAGCTTTCTTTCAATAGACTATAGAAGATTGGACCAAACGATGTCACATACATCTATAAATTGTCAAAAGTGGTTCATTTGCTAAATTCCTTGATTCTTCTCCTCTTTGGAGGAGGATGATTGAGATGTATTGTTATTGTTTTTAGGTCATCAAGAAAGTATTGTTGTTTATATCAAATAAGAAAGTATTGTTGTTCGGTGGTACTGGTACGTGCCCATTTTGACTCTCCAGAAATTATTTTTCTTATAATACTTACCAGATGTTCCTTTCAATTTCAAAGCAGGTTGGTAGATTCCCTTTTCTTTGGTCACAAAGTACAAAACATTTTCCAAACCTAAAACAAAACAGGTAATTAATGATGAAACAAAAATAAACAAACTTTGAAGCCCCAAAACGAAAACAAAATCCCTAAAAAATTTAGGGGCTCTGGGAGGAAAAGTCACAAACTTGAGGAAGGACTAGTTGCTTACGCCGAAAGCGATTCCTAGGCTCCACTCCACGCACCAGTTATATTACGACGCCAAGAATGGTTTGTATACTGCGGAGTTTGGATTGTTGCGCACTGGTGGGGTCCCACAGTTGTGGAAGATGAGATGGACGGCTCAGATGCGATCGGGCTGTTTCCTTGCGCAGGGAGGGAGGAAAGGGCATCATTTTTGGACTTTT